TCATTCAGTATAGTAGAATTGTAGTACTTATAAAATGGAATATTATTCAGCAATATTTGAGAAATCAAATTGTTGCTACATGAATGAATCTCAAAAATATGTGAAGTGAAAGAAGTCAGATATATGCATAAGAAATTCAGTGTATGATTTTTTATATAAATTCCGTAAAGGAGAACAATAAATTAGTCACAGCATTCTGGAGAAGGTAGAGAAATTGACTGGAAAATTAAATGAGGGAATTTTCTGTGGTGATGGTTTTCCAGCTTTTCAGAAACATAGCCGACCCTAAGGTTGGTAATATGTTATTTCATATTGAGCATTTACCTGCACTGAACATTCTTCAAAGTGTATTTGATGTATCTTTTGGGCTCCTTCTTTCCTTCACTGTTGTTACTGTTTTCTTGGCCCTTTTTGATTGCAGACTTGGATCATAATTCCTGGACTGCTTTAACTGGACTCTGTACCACATCATCTCAGACATTGATAAAAGATTGATGTTTTTGGTAAATATTTCTTCAGCATACCCAATACTTAGGGATTTTTGATCAGAAATGCTTGTTCTCAACTATAATACCAATTATGTGTTAGGAAATTGAGTCTACTTAGGAAGATGAGTGTCAAAATCTGAAATGGGCTCTATGCATAAGCTATGGTGGACCAAATGTTCTTAGTGCTTAACAGGTAACCTTTTTTTCACTCTACCTTCAACAAATTTATTGTGTAGTAATTATGTGGCATAGTGTGGGATGTCTGTAAGATAAACACCGGACTGAAAAACGCAGGGTTGGTTATTTGAGCCCACCAGCTGCTCTAAGGAAGAAAGATGAGACTCTCTGCTCCCAGCAAAGATTTAAGGCCTTGGAAACCCTATAGTTGATAAGTGCTGTTGAGTCCGTTCCAACTCACAACGACCCTGGTGGATTTGAAGCACCACCTTGCAGTCCAGTGCATTATCCTGCATTACCACACAAGAACTCTTGGAAACCCTATACAGGGCTATTCTGAGTCAGAACCAATGTAAAAACACTTAACAATCTTATGCATGTCACAGTACTGGGTTTTAGCAGTATAGGCAAAGTTCTTGTTGTAATGGAACTTACTTTCTAGAATGGCAAACAGAAAAGTGAGCAAAAAGAGCAAGATAATTTCAGTAATGTTGCTAGTTGCTGTTGAGTTGAGTTTGACTCATGGTGATCTCCTGTGTTATAAAGTGCAAGTGTTCCGTTGGGTTTACTTGGCTTAATGGAGTCCTTGTTGGCACAAAGGGTTAAGTGTTTAACTTCTAGCTGAAAAGTTGGCAGTTTGAATCCATCCAGGCATGCCTCAGGAGGCAGGCCTGATAATCTGCTTCTGAAAGGACATAGCCTATGGAGTAATTCCACTTTACATACGTAGGGTCACCATAAATTGGAAAATACTCATCAGTATTTAACAACTGTTTTAATGAAAGCAGATTACCAAAGCTTTTTTTCATGGTACTTCTTGGTGATCTAAAGCCAGCAGCCTTTTAGCTATCAAATGGAAACTCTGCCATCAGGTTGCTTGGTGGCTGTGTTCCGTTGAGTTGTTGCCAACTCATATCAATCAACCCTGTATACGGTTTCCTAGGCTATGAATCTTTAAAGTTGCTGAAAACTTCAATCTTTCTTTCATGGAACTGTTGGTGGACTTGACCTACAGCCAGTGCATAACCCGCTGTGCCACCTGTTCTCCACTGTGCCATCTAGGGGACTAAATTTTGGTTACAAAGATTGAAGTAATGTGCTAGCTAATGGCTGGTGTGTATGTATAAGGCATATGTATACAAGTTGGCCACTATCGATCTGGAAGGAAAAGAAAGCATGTGGCATTGTGGGCTAACTGTTGGACTGCAAGGTCAGCAGTTTAAACCCATCAGTCGTTCTATAGAAGAACGATTGAGGCTGTCTGGTCTATATAGGGTTTCTGTGAGTCAGAACTGACTCATAGACAGCAGATTTGGTTTGTTGGTTTTTAGAATAACAGGGAGTTAGCCCTGTGACGATCTGGGCTTAAAATATTCCTATAGGCAGGACCAAGCATGGCATGTTGGAGAAAGTAAAGTAAGGTCAGGATATGAAGTATTTGATACTGTGGGCTATGCAGTGGACTGGTATTCTCAAGGTCAGTTGTTTAAAACCACCACCTGCTCCTTGAAAGATGAGGTTATCTGTTCCTGGAAAGATTTACAGTCTTGGAAACACTATATAAGGTCACTTTGAGTTGTAATCATCTTGATAACAGTGGATTTGTTTTGGGTTTGGCATGTTGAGCATGGTGCTTGGTGCTAAGGTAGTAAAACTGATTCATTCATATTTGCCTAGAGGTCAGATATATGTAATAAACCTAACTGCTGTTTTAAGTTGAATGACTTGGGGGAAGTTACTTAACTCTCTGTGGTTTAGTCTTTTCATCTATAAATTGGAAATTATAATACTCATCTGAATGAATTATTCTGAAAATTAAATAAATTAATGCAAATTAAAATAAAACCGTGCATCGTGTGTAGTAAATATGCATTAAATATCCACTGTGTTGTTATTGTTGTCATTGTTGTTATATACACTTAACAATGGCGTTCATAGGATTTTCAAGACTGTGACCTCTTGGAACCCTGTTTTCTGAGGTGAACTCTGGGTGGGCTCAAAGCACCAACTTTCAGTTAACGCACAAGTAAGATGAATTTTTTCCTCACAAATTGTTGTAGATGGTCTGCCATAGTGAGCTTCATCTTCAACACAGTCTAGTCCCTTCTTTAAAATGAGTTATCCATTTGTAAACTGCTAATTACCTTGGTACCTGTTCTCCATAAGCTTCTCATGAAGTGTCACTGATTTTGTTGTTCTTCCACCCAAGATTTTCCATGAATTTGATGTTTGTTCTTCCTTTAATTTTAGCAGAAATCATGTTGCTCTGATAAGGGCTCTTTTGAAATCGATACCTTATTATTCTTAGTGCCTCAAATTAGATCATGTTCAGACACATTTTAACAAGTTTATTATGATGCAAAAAATGTATTTAAACCCATGCATAATATTTTCACCTTACACATTTTCCCTGAACTTTTAGAAGACCCCTCAAATGGTAGCAATTTGATTTGTTATTCTTTTGCATATCTTAAGTTATTTTTTAGTCTTAATATTTGGAAAATTATATATTCTTTATCTTATTCTAATTTGCTTTTCATTAATTTTCTTTGTGCTATGGATCCTTTTATTTATGTATTTTATTTTGGGTCAGAGGCAGTTTATTTTAAATGTGACTTCATTTACATTTATAAGCAACTTTAAAATTATATTTTTGCCATTCAGCATCTCAGTTATTATTTCATAAGTGTTTATTTCATTAATAGTAGTAGCTTCTTAGTGCTTTACAGACTGTTATGTTTTTACTCAGCATAGCTACTTTGTTGTTGTTAAATGCCATGGAGTTGGTTCTGACTCATAGTGACCCTGCATAGGGCTTCTGAGGTGTGGCTCATGGTTTTGAGCTGGTGGTTTTGTGATTCAACACTATAGCATAGTGGTTACAAATCAGGCTGCAAACCTTAAGATCAGCAGTTCGAAACTACCAGCTGTACTGCAGGAGAAAGAGGAGGCTTTCTGCTCCCGTAAAGATTTACAGCCTCAGAAACCTTGTATAGGGTCGCTGTGAGTCAGAACCGACTCCAAGGCACAAAACAACACAACAACAGGACTCCATAGCTACTTGATGTGATAATTACTGCTATTATCCCTGTCTTATAGATGAATGAGCACAGAGAATATAAGTAACTTGCTTAATGAGGTCACATAGCTAGCAAGTGTGGTGGTGGTGGTGTGCCTTGGAGTTGGTACTGACTCATAGGAACCTTGCATAAGGTTTCTGAAGCTGTAAATCTTTACAGGAGCAGAAAGTCTCATCTTTCTCCCACAGAACACGTAGTAGTTTCTGACTGCTGAGTTTGAGGCTAACAAAAACCCAGGCCCTGGGTTATACTTTCTGTCTGCTCTGTCTTAGCCTTCTGAAGATACTATTTGTTTCCTGTTACTAGTTCTTCTTTATGTTCATTTTGATGCTTAACTTTCATGATGATTTTCTCAGATGGTTTGACTTTTGGATGTGTACAAAAGCTTACAAAGTTTGAGTCTAGTCATTTTTGGGGAGAGGATCAAGGTTTGTTGAATTTCCTATTCTTCATTTGTGTGGTTCCCATTGTTTGACTTCTATGTGCTGTGCTTCTACCACAGGCTGATATCTCTGATACCCACATTCCTGCTTGACAAAAGTAAGAGAAGGATATCTGCCTGCCTGGGTGGTCCTGACCACTCTCAGAATTGCTCCTGGGGTCCCTCCTGCTGTTTCCATCTCACCCCCCTCCCCAAAGCTTCTTTTTACTAAACATGGGCTGTCTTGAACTGTGGTTTCTTATGTATCATTTCTTCTCTAGTTTGTCTTCTTTCAGGGATTAAGTATAATTCTTACTAAGGTCATGTTCTTATTTTACAATGCTTACGATCTCTTTCTGTGTTTTGTTTTAAAGTAGTATTGTAATTTTATTCATTATCTGGTGACTTTTGGGCTTTGAAGATTGAAGTTGATTATGTAAAGTGTGCTCCTATTTTAATGTCTTCTTCAGTGGCTGTTTATGTTTTGAAAATCATGGACTTGTTTCACCTTTTCATGAATTCTGTGGATCTTGATCTTCTTTCATATCCAGATTTATAGCCATCTCTCATGGACCATAAGAGATGGATAAATGTTAATTTGAGCATTACTGGTTTTGAAGGTGTGGGTTTTCTTTTAGAAGTTGGGGACTTTGTTTTATTTTTAATTATGTTAACGGTGTAAGCATATTCCTGTAAAAATAATCAAGTTTGAGAAAAGTTGCTGTAAGATATATGTAGCCATAGTTATATCATTTAACACAAATGTAAAGATAGTGCTATATCTTTCTATAAGCATTTTTTTTTTTAACATTCCTTTTTTCTCTCTTTTTCTAGGTTTAACTATAGATCGACACATCATCTTGCTTCTCATGGGTTCTATGAGTTTTTAAATTGGTTTGATGAAAGAGCATGGTATCCACTAGGAAGAATAGTAGGTGGTACTGTAAGTATATTAGTAATTTTTTATGTTAATCAGACAACACTGTAGTTATTTGATTAAGTCATTAACTGCTAAGGTAATGTTGGGGATTCTTGAAAGTTCTGACCCATAGTGACCCTGTGTAGGGTTTCCGAGGAGCGGATGGTGATCTTGAACTGCCAGCCTTGCTGCCCAGTCCAACTTTGCAGTTTAGCACAGTAACCCACAGTGCAGCATTTGGGGATTTCTTAATTATATGTATATATGTATCCTTCTGAGTTATTATAGTGAGAGAACATATTTTATACGTTTCAATTCTTTGAAATTTATTGAGACTCGATTTGTAATGTAGGATGACCAGATCTGTAATTATTCCTTTTGTTTGGAAGCAACGTGTTTCTTATTGGTAAAGTGTTGCCTTTTGTGGAATCTTATCTTTGATATAAATAGAGATTAAAGGCAAAATGAGAGTAGTCCTTATGGTCTTTATGTGCATATAAAGTTAGAGAGTATCTTGGTATTGAAAGGCAGGTATCTTGTTGTTGTGTACCCTGGAGTCAGTTCCGACTCATAGTGACCCTGTACAGGGTTTCCAAGGCTGTAAATCTTTACGGGAGCAGAAAGCCTTATCTTCCTATTGCGGAACAGCTGGTAGTTTCAAACTGCTGACCTTGAGGTTAGCAGCCCGATTCGATTCTTAACCACTATGCTACCAGAGCTCCTGGCACTACAATTTTTGATTATGTGAGAAATAACTCTTGTGAGAGTGGTCCATCTTCAAATTCATGGGATTGTTAGGCCTGACTAACAGATTGTTGATTTACATACAGGGATGGAATTGTAACCTGGCTGTTTGTTCTCGGACTAGGAAATTTAAATAAGAATACAGCCATTAAGACAATGAACAAGCCATTTTGGCTTCTCTGGGGGGAGGGAAAATGGGACATGCCATAGAAATGTATATGGGGAACTGGAACTGGAGGAGGGGCTTTTGGGAGACAAGTATAAAAACATTTGTGGCAGGCCATGTGGCATGTCTGCCCTTGTCTACAGGGCTGGACGCCGGATTTTGCAAAATCAAAGAAAACCTCACTCTGGCTAAAATGAGTTTACTTGAGCATTTGTCAGTATAGGCAACATTTCTCACATATGTGGTTATAGTTTGTGTGCAGGGTTTCTAACTTTCTGTCTTTAATTCATCCCCACTGGAAGCTTGTTTTCTCTGAGATTCCTGGTGCCCTGGGATTTGGGACCATTGATGTAACAGTCTTTCTCATTTGCCTTTGCTGGGACTGTTAGGAATTTAGAACTGATTTCTTATCTTGAGGTATCTTACACCTAACTTTCCCCTACCAAAAAGGCAAATTCAAACTCAAATGAAATTCTCCAAATGCCAAAAATGAAGAGGAAATTCAGATTGGTATTGGTGCCATGGGAACCTAAAGAAAAAGGAAAAAGAGTAAAATCAGACCTAGTATATAGGCTTTAGGAACTAAAGACTGGGGAGTTAACCACCCAACATAGGATCAGAGAGAAAATATAGTTCCCAGCAGCAGGTGAGATGTGAAAAGAATGTCTTGGTTTACAAAATTTACGTTAGACATACTCTACTCATCCACCAAGATTAGAAATGAGTAGAAACAAAATTGTTTTGGTTAAGTGCTGTTGAATCAGTTTTGACTCATAGCGAACCCTGTATAGGGTGTCTGAAGAGCAGCTGGTGGGTTTGAACTTCCGACCTTTTGGTTCGCTGTCCAGTGTGTATCCTAGTGCTACACCAGGAGCCCAGAACCAGAACACTACAGGAGAAATAAGAACCCATTCACATATGTGACTGTGGTTTTCTTAGTTATAACAATGGACTTAGAGAGAAGACGTATTTATAAATATCACGTATTTCATTTTTCCGACTAAGTTTGCTTAGTCTTTCCTTTTCTCCATATCTTTTATACATACAACTGTGGATGAAATTGGAATGTATTAAAACCCCAATTTTAAGAGAAAAGTAGACTAAGACCCTGTTTTAGAGTGAAGGAAAAGAAAAGTAATTAGCAGCATCAGTAGGAAAGTTATAATTCAGTAGATTAATTATCTACAACTTTTCATTATTACACATTTTCAGTTTTAATCTTTCCTCCGTATTTTACTTTTCTTTTTTGTTCATATATGTATCCCTATGTTGTAGTTGTTAAGTGCCTTCGAGTCAGTTCCAACTCATAGCGACCCTGTATAGAGTTTCTGAGGAGTGACTGGTGAGCTTAAACTGCTGATCTTCCAATATATATTGGTTTAAACCAGTGTATATTTAAGCAATTTCTTAGTATCCAATCCAAAATGAATATTTTGTAGTATACAAAGAACAGACAGTTCTGAAGTCTTTCTCAGACTTACTCTAAAGACTGTGAAGAATAGAGAATAAAGAAGAGAACCTTTTATTAGTATTTTCAGATATTTCTTTCAACATACAATGGTTAAATGGGTCCTTTTTTTTCTTTCTAGGTTTATCCAGGATTGATGATAACAGCTGGCCTTATTCATTGGATTTTAAATACATTGAACATTACAGTTCATATAAGAGATGTATGTGTGTTCCTTGCACCAACTTTCAGCGGCCTTACATCTATATCTACTTTCCTACTTACAAGAGAACTTTGGAACCAAGGAGCAGGACTTTTAGCTGCTTGTTTTATTGCTATTGTGCCAGGTTACATATCTCGGTCAGTAGCTGGATCTTTTGATAATGAAGGCATCGCTATTTTTGCACTTCAGTTCACCTACTACTTATGGGTAAGTAACAATTTATTTAAGTCGTTAATAATCAAGACGTTTCTGCTGAAATACTCTAGGTTTGAACCTTAGATATTGAAGTGAAAACTTTACCCCGCATTTGTCTTTAATCAATTATAGTTGCGTAGAGAGTATGTCTAATAAATTTAATAATTGATAACATTAAAACATATATATCAAGCATTGGTTTTTCCCTTCTCTCTTTAGTTTTATATACATATATATACATGTACAGATGTATGTCTATGTTATAATTTTCATGAAAATCCTTTGCAGTATATATTATTATGCCACTTTTATAGACCATGATATATGTCCTTTTTTAAACATTATAATCCAGAAATGCGCTATCAAAAGAAAAGCTGTTGATTTGTTTTAGGGGGAAAGGGTATGAAATAATTACTTGGAAAAGTTGAAATGTGGTCAGTGGTTTGGTATTAAAAATTTTTTCCCAAACTGGCATTACTAATGATTTTGCCTTTACCACGTTATTTACTTGGAAAATGATGCTATTTATTGCTGGATTGCATTAATTCATTCATCCATTGGAACTTTCATTTATATTCATACTTCAACAGGGTAGAAATTGTCCAAAAATTGTTTATGTTTATACTTTTTAATATATTTAATTACTTTTTAGGGAGCTAGTTGAATGGCAGCTTGATTATCTTAACAAATGTTTTAAAACTACTTTACTAGTGAATGTTTTTGCTTGGCAAGGAATCTTAGAGGCGAATGCTGTGGTCACTAAGAAAAGAAAATTGCTTAATCTTGAGTTTTAAAGAAATGCCAGGAAAAAAAGCACATATGGAGATGAAGACGGCAGGCAGCAGCAGGATGTTGCTAATGCTGGTAAATTCATCAACAACTTAGTAAAAACAACTTTAGCTGAGAAAAGCTAAAATTTGGGACTTCAGTCATTCATAATGCCTTTTTAAATGATAAATTTTCTTGTTATAAAAATGATAGGTGTAGTTGTTGTTATGTGCCTTGGAGTCGGTTCCGACTCATAGCAATCCTGTACAGGGTTTCTGAGGCTGTAAATCTTTACGGGAACAGAAAGCGTCATCTTCCTCCTGTGGAACAGCTGGTGTAGGGGGAGTAGTTATTCTTATAGTCCAGAAACAGAGGATGCTAGGAGGAATGCTGGACCTTATCTGGAGAAGCAGTACCCCAGAGATGGGAACATGGAGAAAGCGGGAACAGCTGAGGACTCTAGACTGATGAAAAGAGAGGGACTGAGAGGTGGCAACCAGGAGGCAGACTTGCAGAAATGTGCCTTTTGGTGTTTCAAATTATTGCATATGCCTGAGTGTTCTTAAAAAGAAAGCTAAAATGAATAGAGAGAAATATTATTAATTTATGGTACGTGGAGGGGGGATTATAGTCATTGTAATGAAACAAAGTATATGATTTGTTGAATGTAAAACTGATGATCTGCCCTGTAAAACTTTCACTCAATTCACAGTTAAAACTTAAAAAGAAAAGAAAAAGGTGTAAATGTGGATAGATCATGACAGTATTATAATGTAAAACAGAAAAATAAGTTGCCTTAGAATACATGCCGTATGATATCACTTATTTAAAATTTCAACAGTTACAATGATTAAACATACATTATTTGTTTATACATGTTTATAATGAAATTTTAAAAATAGAGTGTATATATGCTTCATGATAGTGATTCTTCCTGAGGATGAGTGCTCTGTATTGAGCTATATTGACACAGCAGTATGAATAAAGCTTTTTAATCAGTAAAAGCTATTTTCATAAAACTATCTTGATGCAAGTATGATAATAGCATTTGTAGGTCTGTCTGGGTGACAGAGCTTATGACTGAGTGAAATTATTCTCTTTTTTCCTCCATATATTTGAAAAGTTTTGTAATAAAATTTTTAAATAGTATTAGTTGAAAATTTAAATAATATACAAAAATACATATAAAGGATGGGAAAATAGACCTGGCAACGTGCTCCCCTAAAGAGGAAAGCCTAGAAAACCCTCTGGGACAGATCTTCCCTGTCACATGAAGTCATCCTGAGTCTGAATCAACTTGGCACCAAACAGCAGTGTGAATTTCATCTCAATTTAAAAAGCATATAAAGGAAGGAAATCACCCAATTAACTACTTTTCACTTTTTAACATATTTCTAAACTTTTTTTGTGTTTTGAAGAACCAAAGATACTGTTGTGCTGTCCATATGGTTTTATAGTCTTTATTTTATCATACCGTGAATTTGAACCATTTCAGTAGTGTCATAACTGCTAGCTTCATTACCATCTAACACTTTTTTTATGCTTAATTTTTTTAAATTGAGACAAAATTCACATAACATAAAGATCATTATTTTTTACAGTGTGCAGCTGATTGGCTTTTAGTATATTTGCAGTGCTGTATAATTATTGTCACTAATTCCAGAATGTTTCCTTCACCCCCTTATCTTCTGATTCAACCCATTCTTTCATCCTCTGGTTACCACTATCTTTCTGTCTATGAATTTGCCTGTTCTGGACATTTTGTGTAATTAGAATCATATAGTATGTTTTCCCTTTGTGACTGTTTATTTTACTTAGCCACGATTTTACGGTTTATAGTGTTGTGACTTGGATCAGTGATTTCATTCAGTTCATGTCTGAATGATATTTCACTGTATGGACACATAGCACTTTTGGTTTATCCATTTATCAAATGATGAACATTTGGATTGCCTTCACTTTTGAGCTATTGTGGATAATCGTACTACTAACATTTACATACATGTCTTTATGTAAACATATAATTCTCTTGAATAAGTACTAGGAGTGGAATTTCTGGGTCATATCCTGGTGTGGGTGAGCACTGGTTGCTAACCCTAAGGTCAGTGGTTCAAACCCTTCAGTCACTCTTTGGAAACCCTTATATGGAGTTGCTGTGAGTTGGAATCAACTTACTGGCGCTTCATAACAAAAACAACCGGCACCATTTTGCATTTCCACCAGCACTGTTTGAGTATTTTAATTTCTCCATCAAATATTTTCTGTGTAGTGTTTTCTTTCTTTCTTTCGTGTTTTAAAATTAAAAGATCCTCGAGAATATGAAGTAATAGCTCATTGTTCCAACAGATCATGGGAACACTGAATTGTTTAAAATTAAGCTGTGAGCAAATAATCCAAGAAACTGGGTTACATGAATAAAAATGCGGCATCAGGATTGGAGGAAGAATCATTAACAACCTGC